CTCTCGGAATGTGCTGCGTATGTAGGCGCACTCTTTGTTAACCACGGCGCGCTCCTCCGCTGCGGTGCGGGCGGCGCGTATCTGTCGTATAAGATCACGCAATCGTGTGGGCGTCGGCATTCTGACTGCATGTGGGCGAGATAAAATGAAAACAGGAAGATAAATAAAAGCCAGAGACAGTTACTTGGTGGCTGGATGGCTAAACAAATGCCGGGAACTGAGGCTTACCTCTTTCGACAGCCTCTGTGAATGCCTGGCGTATGGTGGCCATATTGAAGGCTGGATTGAATCTATTGGAGCACAAAAATGAATTATTAACAGGCTGATTAGACAGGAGTGCAAAATGTACACAAATGTATGCATATATATATAATTTTATATAGATATATGTGCATGTATTATACATGTATGTAATAAGGCTGCATACCCATGCTCGGAATTCATTTCGAGGCGTTGCGGCTGCTGCTTCTGCGGCTCTGAAGCGATTTGGTTGTGGCACGCAGACTAACTGCTTTTTGTTGATGGTTGTTTATCTTGTTCTGCTTCTGCTTCTTCTTCTTCTACTACTTGCCGGCCTATGCTTTTATGTTTGCATTCAGTTGTAGTTGTTGTTGTTGTTGCTGTTCCTTTTATTATTACAGCTGCGTCGGCGAGGTGGCAACATAAACAATATTCGATCTTAAGTCGCGCTTTGCTTATTTTGCAACACTCGCTGCACAGCACATGAACAACAATAGTAACAATAACAACAACAAAAACGTTGACAGCCGGCCGCTATTGAATTGCAGTTACTGCTCCACTTGTCGCACTCTCTCACACTGTCTCACTCGCACTCTCCCAGACATATTTGCTGCGCTCTCTTTGCAAAACTGTTAACACTGCACATCGAACTTTAGCTCTCTGTCTATCACTGGATGTTGCTGGTGTTTATTATTATTAACACAAATCGCAGTGCACAAACAATATCAGTAATGAACTTACTGCTGTTATAAAACGTTATGTACATAAATGATGCGTGTGCATGTGTGCGTATGCCGAGGCTTAAACAAATATGCATATGTATATACTACATGGACAGAGGTACACATGATCTGTCGCCGCTCAATGCAAACAAAAAGCTCTACGCTTACTCACACTGGCACACACATACATATGTATAGTACATATGCATGGACATTGAAGTACCTTTAACTGGCATCAGTTTCATACGCTTGTACATACATATGTATGTATTTATGTAGCTGCTAGTGCTGGCCAACGAAGCGCAGCACAGCCACAGCACAAACTGAAAAAAACTAGGCTAGGCGTGTAGGGTGTTAATTAAGACGACAAAAAGGTGGAGGTTCACACAAATGCAAAACCATTTACGGCTGCTGCTGATGAAAATGAAATGATTAATTCAGTTGTATGAATAATGCGAAAACCGCACTTGAAGCATCAGCCGAACCGAATTGACGATTAGCGCGCATTGAGCTGACAGTAACACACACACACACACACACACACACGCGTGACAAGCAAACAGCAAGAGGCGTATTTATATCCAATTGGAATGTGAACACAAATTCTAATTACATTCTCCCTTAAACGATTTCAAATACGAATAATAAACAATCTAAAGTGCCACATTAATCGTTAACAACTGATTCCGCTTTTGTCTAAAGGCCTAAAAGGCAGTCACAGTCACCAGTTATGGCTAAAACCAAAACAGCTGCCGTCATTGCTGGCTTTTATCGATATTCGATATCGATATGACACAATGGGCCATTTATCGAGTGCATTGCATGCGTTGCGAAAAAAAAAATGTTATAAATCACAGGAAATACACGTAGTTGCTTCTGTTTCTGACTGCTGTCTCACTGTAACCTAACACGTATTATTGCAAAATATTGCATTACTTTCTGTGCTTGTCGATTAATGTACTTTCATTGGAAAGCTCAAGCACATAGACACATCACACACACGCAGAGATACATGGCACAAGCACACACACGCACACAAGCGCCCACTGAGTTAAGCGTATGCTTCTTTTTGGCCACAGGAAAAATTAAACATAAATCAATTGAGTATTTGCCGCAAGCAAAGCAAGTCGCTTTTCTTTCTTGTTTAAACTTTTGCTCGCACTATATATAAACGTTTGCTTTATAGCCACCTGCCGCCTCCGACTTCCAATGCAAATTTTAACAACGCGACAAAAATGCTCGTAGAATGTTGATGATGAGCGCAACAGTAGTAGTAATAGTAGTTGTAACAGCAGTGAGAGCGAGAGAGCGCGAGCCAGCGGTTGACATTTCGTTTTGACATTAATCAGCACTGCTATCGCAGGCCGTTGTAATCGATAGTTTTCTTGGCCAAGACGATGAATACGCGCATAACGTAATTTTTGAATTAAAAACCTCAGCATTTTCTGCTGACAATTTGCAACTCACCTGCGATTATTTTCCGGTGGCAAAACACTCCAATCCTGCTCATAATACGGATACATAATGGCTGCGTTACCTTCTCGTTTGTCCCACTAGCATACAACAGTGGACACTAACTAAATACACAAACTCTAACACACAACCAAACTCCGCACAGGTACTGACACTGGAATAATGATAAGCGGCTACGGTGCTCCACATAGGCAGTATACGTACGTGTTATCTAATGTACATTTATAGGTAATTACGATTCCAATCCCCGCACCACAAATACACACATACAAACACACACACACACACACTGCTCGATGCGCTCTTTGTGTGCCTTTAGTTTAAACCAGCTTGGGGTTAACCATATTCTGTTGGCAAGCAATTGATATAACGTGTTCACTGCGAAACGGATATATTCTCAGGTCATTATCAAAGCTAGTTGTGGTTAACCAAAATAGACAACGAGGTCGACGCGGATTTTGAATAAAAATAAACCAATAACAACAATGAGCAGCCCGCGCGACTGAAACTCTGGCCAAAGACTGAAATCATCAAATGCTGATCCCTCAGTATTCATCGACGCCTGCAGCACACCTACGGCCAACGGCACGGGGTGAACGTGTGCATTTGGCGGCACATAGATATAGTTATCAGACTAGACGCTCACATTGGTGGCATGGCAGTCATGGACATGGCTCACTCAGAGCCCGTTGAATACACAGAAACTATACTAACTTATCTCTGAGCAATGCGCGCACTGATAACAAACAAAATCGTGAGAACGCCGTTGTACCTGTTTGTGCCATAATACAAAAAAAATGAAAAAGTGTTTCGTTATGGATAAGTGAAGTCGTCACCGACTGTGCTGGCTGATAAGTCAATGACAGGTGAAAGCCTTTGCTCGCGATACACAATTATATACAAAGTTGTGTGTGCACTTTGATTATCCTTTGATAAAAATGTGTGTTATGTATTTAATACATGCTTAATGCTATTGTCTGTCTACCTAAAGCCAAGAAGCTATTGTACAACGTTTGTCACTGTTCTCTGTTCTGTTCTGGAATTAATTCGTTGCATTTGATTATCGTTTTGTGCAGCTCAATCGTTTTCACGCGGCGGACGCACTAATGAATGCCGTTTAATGGCCTCCACCAGCCATTTGATGCCCTCATCGACGCCTTCGCCTGTCAGCGCTGAGACCGGTATCGTAAGGCAATCACGGCGTCCAATTAGCGCACCAGCCTGTTGGAATACGGGCTTGATTTCGCGTACGCCCATCACATCGGGCAGATCCTGCTTGTTGGCCAGTATCAGTAGCGGCACGCCCGACAGCAGCTCATTTTTGATCATTTTATCTGGAAAAGCAAACGTAATATGTAATGCAACTGCTTAATCCTGTGGAAAACTTCGGAAGCGACCAGCTACTAGATGGAAAAGATGGGCATTTACCGAAAATGATTTTGGACTCGTCCATGCGTTCGCGATCATTGGAGTCTATCACATAAATAACGCCATGCGATTCCTGATAGTATTTGTCCCACAGCGACTGCAATTCCTGTTGGCCACCCAGGTCCCAGAAATTCAGACGCACGCCCTGCACATCGATGGTGCCAATGTTGAGACCCACTGTTGTTGTGATTTTAGCTGGATTTAGGCCCTTGTAGTTTTTGGTGAATTTTGTTTTGGCCGCCTCCAAATAGGTCTGCGTGTTTCAACAAAATGCTCATTTGCAGACGTGTATCATTATGCCGGAGCCGCTTACCGTTTTGCCCGCATTGTCCAGGCCCAGAATGACGACGCAGTACTCATCTTTCTGTGTGAGATATTTGTAAAAGCCGTGCAGCAATGTGTACATATTGCAGTTAGTTTAGCTATTTGAGGAATATTAATGTTGCATTGCTAAAGGAAACAAGCAACAATTGGTGAATCAAATAAAAACACAATCTAGGGTTGTTCTCGCCAAAAATGGGCCAACATATGTACGAGATTGCGATCCAGGTTTTGCTACATGCATCTACGTCACAATATGACGTACACGAAAAATTCTATTTGGTCTGCTCCATAAATGATTGCTTGTTTGTGTTTATAGTTTTGCTTTAATACTATGGTCAGTCATTATTTTTGTAAAGTAACTTCTTTATATTGCTTTCATTAAGCATTGCTTGCCAACATTGACAACCTTATCGATAGTTGTGCAAAGTGCAACCTTGTGAGTTTAGTATTGTGGCCGGCACACAACTGATGTTGGCAACTCTATTGCTTTGTTTACATTTGTACTGGACAGTCTGGCAACGCTGTCCTGTTCTGGTAGCACTATTTCAATTATTTAGTATTTTAAAACAGAGCAATTTGTTTTTACTGAGTAGAATTATTTTTATTTTACATCATTATCACTTTTGTGACGTTTTCTATTATATTCTATTAATTATGTGCATAGTAATGGCATGTATGTATGCTCTCATATCCCAAAGTATCTAACGCTTTAGATCTTTATAGAAATTAAATATGCCCTATAAGTCAATAACTATTTATTTTGTTGCCAATTTTTATGTTGAAAAATTTGAAAAGGTATTTAAATATTGAACATAAACATAATCGAGAAACGGTCGGGCCCTATGGCAAGATCTCGTCCAACTGCATAAAAAGTAACTGTGGGAGCGTTGAGTGTTGTCATCGATAAGCTCGATAGTTTTTCTATCGATAGCATGCGATAATACAGGATTCTTGTGCAGACTGCAAAAAATTCTTAACGGTTTTTTTTTAGCCAGTCGTTGGTTATTCAAAATGCTTATATTTAAGAAAATTCGAGAAACGCATTTCCATTGGCATCGTTCTAACGGGCATCATAAGCTGATAAGCTGACACCGACAGGGCCGCCAGCAGCGGCACGCGGCACGCGGCAGGTGGCCAAGGTTAGTATGGTTTTGCGTGCATTTAATTGGCCAACTAATAAGACGCAAAAAAAAAAAATCATAACACATTATTGACAGCTGCGCATTTCTTAGACAAACGCTACAGAGATTCTTTTCAGGGGCACTTACTTACGGGCGGCATACACAAATGTTACGATCGATTCGAGTGTTGACAAACGCAAAAAAAAAAACCGAAGCCAAAGTAATCCCTTGCACCTGAACTAGTTCTGGGCCTGTGCAAGACGGGCAACCTTATTTTCGCGGACTTGAATTGTATATACATGCATATATGGGCAGATTGGCCAAATACAAATCGGCTTACAAAACCGTCAACACAACAACAACAACAACAAAAACAAGAACAACAATGCCAACAAAACGGAACTAGTTCAATGACTGTCTGCTGCACGGCCAATGCATTTTTTTTTTTTTTTATTATTATTATTGTTGTATTACAGTTGCAATTGCCTAAAGCTGTTAATTAACGTACCACATGCTGCACATTTATTGACTTTGAATTCAAATTAAATATAGACAATTGATATTGTCTATTGCATTACAATGATAATTAAGCTTTAATTGTTCGTCATTAGCGAGTGCAGGCTGTAAGTATTGTTACATATACAATTATGTGTGAATATTTGAGTAAATTGTATTTGGTGTTGTCATTGAATTGACAACTTGCAACGCGGCAAAAAAGAAAAAAAAAAAAAAAACAACAACACGAATCCAACAAATTCGACACGCAACGCAACGGCGTGCAACGGCTTTGGCATTAGCTTCACCGTTAGAATGTTCAAGTTGAAGTTTGCTGGCAACACCCCCGCAGATCAATTAACTTATATTCTTACAATTTTTATAATTATTAAATTTTTATTTATTTTTAGCTAATGAAAACAATTATGCATTTATATTTGTTTAAATGGCCACTTAATTGTTAACAGCTGTCAATTCGTGGCCCGTTGAACGATGTGGCCTACTAATTGGCCAATGACTAACGGCCTAACGGCTGTTTACTAATCACAGCACAGATTGCTCACCTGATTGAAATCCGCCTCGGCGCCAGCGGCCGGCCACGCCCTTAAATTAGCTGCATTTGAACGACTCCAGTGTCTCATCATAGAATAGCATCGGGAAGACCCCGTTCAGAGCTGGATATGTGTTCAGAATGCTATTGAGAATAGAGGTAAGTGAACGAGTCTAGCGATTGTTGGGGTCAATAATTACACAGCTACTCTGAACTTTGTAGCTGACTATAAACCAAAAACTGGCGACTTGCCATGTTAAAGCCGAAAAAAATCAAATTGAACATATCTGTAACACAAGAGAATCCATAAATTCTTCAATTTGCCAGCTAAAAAATATCTTTGTTTATCCAGTCTTGTTATGAATATAAAACGAAAGGATTCCTTTAATAACTTATCAACTTTTGCTCAATTCGCGTGCTTGTATACTTTCGTGGCTGTACTTTTGTTTATAGGTTATATTTTGTTATAACAGTAAAATAACGGTAAAATGCTTATCGATATTTTCGCCTCCAACACTGTGCCCGACTGTCTGGCAGCGTTGTCCAGTGTTGTAAGGACACATAAGACCGCTCATTTGAAACACATTTTAAGTTACAACTTCTTTAATTAAGCATATATGAACTTCTGCTTAGACAAAAAAAAAAAAAATACATATATAGATATACATAGATTTTGTAATTGTTTAATAATAACTGATCCCCAATGGTTTAAGTTTTAGTTCTGCCTTTTTTTTCACAACAAATAAGTACAAGCGATGTTAATTGTACAACTATTTGTAAAGCAGGGGCAACGTGCAGTGCGGCTCGGTGAGACTCGGATTATCGGAGTAGAGTGAAAAGGTTTTCGCATTCAAATCGAACAGGCCAACAGCAATTGTTTTGACCACTTCATCGCATCGGCCATTGTCGCGCCACACGCTAAAGCAGCCGCCAGTGACATCACCCAGCATATTGCGGACATCATGCTCGCTGGCCGGCGGCTTGTATTTGCCAAAGGCATGCATTCGCGACACGCTGGACTTCAGCATCAGCTCGTTGGCCTGGTCCAAGTGTATGCGCTCGAATCTGTGCAAATGAAATACCAAAGTTACGGCATGTATCGAGTGCCAAACGGCGAGCTACGTACTGATTGGCATGGTAGTTATGCGCGCCCAGCGGTACCTCCTTGATGCTCAAGTGTGACTCGTTCTTCCGGTCCGGATTTGGTGCCATTTCCACGTTGTAAAACATTTGACGCGGATCACTGCAACAGGCAGGCAGGCAGGCATGATATAAAATGAACTGACAGACTTCGAAAAAAAGCCGCATACTTACGCCAAAAATGAAAAGTTAATGGAACAGGCATCGGCAGCGCCCACGCCGGCATCCGTAAGCACCCTGAAGGCATCGTCCACGTTGCTTGTGGCGAGTAAGGCCCGTGTCAGAAAATGACGAGCTGCAAGCAATTGACGATGAAATAAAAACGCCATAAAGTTAACCAGACACCGATCCACTAACGTGTCTTGCCGCTGCGCAACAGCTCGGCGCTGATTGTGTTGATGCTAAACACTAGCCCGTGATGATTATGGCTCATGGTGTAGCCCGGCAGGTGTCCGGCATAGCAGAGCGACATGAAATGCTCCTCCTTGACATTGTATTTGCCCTGCGGCTTGTCGCTGATGATGTGCGCAACCACAAAGTAGTAATGATTAAGCGTCTCCGTCAGTGCGTCCTCCGTGTGGCCCAGCAGACGCTGGCGCCAATGGACAATATTCCGATTACGTTAACATATCCATTAACATATTTCTAGGTACTTACGCAATGCTTTTGGTTAACAATAATCGAGGAGCAGCCGGTGGGTTGGTTTTTGTTGCGTGGCTGATGTTTTAGAGCCTGCGGCAAGATTTCGTCCAGATGCAGCAAGAACAACTGTTAAAGAGAAACGTTTAGCGTTGCCCATAACCGTTAATGTGATTGTTATCGCATTATGTTCGATAGGTTGGCCGGTGTTGGGCAAGGATTGTTATCGCCTTTTGACAATTAATCGACAGGATGCGATAGGCTATTATAATAATCGACATTTGAAAATCGTTAACCGTTGACAGGGTGATTCATCAGCTCGCTCAATGATTAATTGCATTTGGCTTTGTGCTGTTTTTGGTAAGCTGAGGTTTAAAGACCATTTAATGGTGCTCAAAATATGGCAAATAAAAAACGATTTGATCAATTATTATGAAATGCACGTAACAGGGCATTCGCTGACCAGAATTTCAAATTTAATTGCCATAAGACATTTCACAGTATTCCCATGTTTGCAATGGGAAAGTCATTTCGGGATGATGTTTTATGGGAAAGCAAAAAGTTAGCGCACTTGAAACTTGATTTTATAATTATGAATATGCAAAATTATTCTATTGGCAGTGTAATTGAAAAAATGCTAAACGATCGTTAATTATTGCTAATTCGATATGTAATTAATTATGCAATTCGAGCAATTCTAAACGGCATCATAAGCTGATAAGCTGACATAGACAGAGCCACCAGCAACGGCAGGCGGCAGGCGGCAGGCGGCCAAGGTTATTACGGATTTGCGTGCATTTAATTGGCCAACTGCTTAATAACAATAAAGCTATAGCACATTATGTGCAACAGCGCATTCCTTAGGCCATAGCAACATAGACATTGACGTTGTTGTCAACGTCAAGCAACAATATTTGCCTTGCTAATGAGCGCATAAATTGATGGCTTAAGGCTGGCGGCCAATGAAACAGCGCCGAAGCCAAAGCAAACCCTTGCACCTGAACTAGTTCTGGGCATGGCCAAGACTAGCTAATCTCATTTATTTTCGCCTATTTGGACAAATTGGCTTACCAAATGGTCAATGCAAGCATATTCGAGCGATCGATGAAAACTAAATGGGGAACTAGTTCAATGACTAATGCGTATTGTTTATATTACAGTTTCTAGTTCTATGCTTGTATTGTCTTCTTCTTGTTACAGTAATAAATTGCCGAAATCATTTAACGATTGCTTATGTCATTGGATTAAAGCTAATAAATAATGTTAATTGGAAAGGAAGTAATCGTAACTCAAGCATTTAGAAACAATTTCGAATATACTTTTATACCCTAGAAGTGGGTATAAAGCTTTTGTCATGAAATCGGATCTCTATAGCGATCTGTCCAAATGCAGATTCCTCTATGAAAAAATCTGCTCAACAAAATTATCAAGATTGCAATACTATATTATAGAGCGCTATCTCAAGAGAGAGATAGAGAGAGAAAAAATGAGTTAATTTATGGTTAAATTTTTTTCAGTTTCCGAGATATTTACATGAAACTGGGCATATCTGTTTGGAAGGGTATACAATCTTCGGCGTGCCAAAGATATTTTCACTTTCGCGCTTAGCTTTCAGTTTTTGTTTTTTTTTTTTTGTTAAACAATCTTTTGAAAGGTGTGAAAAATATACAAAAGAAGCTCAAAAATTTAAACTTAATTAAAAAAATGAAATATAAATAATCATATATATATAAAAAGAAGAATATATATATATATATATCTATATACCTATTATGTGTGAATATTTGAGTAAATTGTGTTTTGGCATTGTCTTTGAAATGACAACTTGCTTCTAGAGACAGCTCACCTTATGGAACTCCACCTCGGCTCCATCGGCCACGCCCTCCAGTTCCCGTATATACTGCGGAAAGCTGCCTTTGACCGATTCCAGGGTCTCGTTATAGATTTGCCCTGCAACAAAATGTGTTCGAAAAAAGAAGAAGAAGAATAAGAAACTCGAATGATTGACAATTATGAGTAACATATACTTACTGCCTTTTGCGGTGCCATAGAGCGGCAAGTAGGTCTCGTTCAGTGGCTGCGATAAGATCAGAAAGTTCTTGATCATCGAGCCAAAAGTGCGACCCTGCAAAGCACACACACACACACACACACACATATATTTTTATATATATTTATAATGTATATTATTATGATTAATTAGAAATATTGAATTGAATTGCAAGCGGCTTTCTAAATATTTGATTCGAGCTCCGTTTGCAAATTGCCCTCTTTAAACGTATTGTATGCTAATATGCCGCTGCTGAACAAAAAATATATTTAAAAAAAAAATATATATACAACAACAACAACAACAACAACAACAACAAAAAACCATAATCGATCACGACTGATCGACAGGGCAAACAAACAAAACGAAACGCTATAAACAACATTTTGAATAATGGTTCATTGTTAGACATAGATATTGTTGCCAGCTTGTTAATTATGTGCGCGACTGCATCGATCAGGAGCGGCTCCAGACCCCGGACGACTGTCCGAACCGACACGGACAACCTGGCCAACCCGGCCCAGCAGCCGCTCACCTGCCAGCCACAATCCATCAGCTGGCCCAGACGAAGTCGGGCCTGTATGCCAATTGTTGCCCTTGATATTGGCCACTTTTTTTCATGTATCTTTTTGTTTTTCCGGCTCAAAGCGAGTGATTGTTATATTTGAGTGTGTGAGTGTGAGTGTGAGCGTGAGTGTTAGTTTTGAGTGAAGGTTAAGCAGGAACTGGGTCACGAAATGGCAAAGAAGAAAAAGAATAAAACAAATAACAAGTAAATATAGCAGTAAAATCGTATAGACGCTTATCAGGATCATTTTATCTTTATGTGTCTGCTATATGTAGCTGTAATTGCACCTACTGATAAGAAAGAGAGAGAGAGAGAGACCGAGAGAGTGAGAGAGAGAGAATCGAACAAAGTTCACTCACAGCAAGATGCAAAACTGGCAAGATTATTCTATAGACCTAGAAACTCTCGTAGAAGCCACATATATATATATATATATATAATTGGATACTAACGGGTTATATGTATATATATATATATAGGGCTATAAGCTTGTGCTTGGGCTATGATAATATTGTCATGGCATGTGAAACGCATAGAAGGCAACATCCGAGAGTCTATATTCCTGATACATCAGTTTGTTTCTCTGAGAACTAGTCGCTCAGCATTAAAGCCAAGCTCTTGCAATGCGGCATAGGTAGGATCTGCTGGTTTTTTCTATAACATATAGCTGGCATAGGCACGATCGCTTCAGCTAAGCTGTTTAGCTATAGGACGAATCTTTCTATAGAAAGAATCGGTCGAGAAATGAGTTCTCCGCACATATCTGCAAAGGAAGGGTATTTTAACTGCGACGTGCCGTAGATATGTTCACTTTCTCGCATATATTTAGCTTAATTTTAGAATAGCTTCAAATGAATAATTTTGCCTGCGCAATTTTTAAGTATATGTATGTGCTTAATATTTATTGGAAATTTCACAGTTGATTACGATTTTCCGCTTGAATGACAATTGCGTTCGTTGTTTGCTTTTCTTTTTATGCCCCAAACCCATTCAAAATGGGTAAAACAAGTTAGAATGTATTTGTGCAAAATGTAGAACGAAGCAACTCCGAACCCATAAAGTATATATATTCTTGAACAGCATCAATAGCCGAGTCGATCTCGCCATGTTCGTCCGTCCGTCTGCCCTTCTAGTGCCCGCGCAGATCGAGTTTGTTTCCGTTAATCGATAACTTGCTCCGTTTGCAACTTATCGATAACAATCGATATCGGAAATGCTTTTTTTGAGCAATTTTGGTAAATAATAAGAGCTAGAGTCACCAAATCAGACATATAGCTTCTAGCATACTATACTATTAGGTGTTGGCAGAAGTGGGTTGAGGGTATTCCCTAGTCGGCAGCTGCCGACTGTTTTGCTTGTAACGGACTGTAAAGCTGGACAAACGGCATAATTAGTTAATATTTAATTGGGTACATCAATAATTCAGCCCATTATCGCTATAGCCAAGCGCTAGCCATCAATTTGGCTGCTAAACTTGTCGTCATAGCCAGGTAAAAGCATTCAAAAAAAAAAAAAATAAAAAAAAAAAAAACGAATAAAAAAACAACACGAACACAAAATAGTTAAATTTTCAGTTTAGATCAAAAGAAAAGCTAAACTTATAAATTCAGTTAACTTTCTCAAGTGCGTTGGGTAAATTTAATGAAGCTAGCGTGACATTTGGCAACGGTCTGTTATTGTTGTTGTTGTTGTTGTTATTGTTGTTGTTGTTGGGGGTTCGGCTGAAAGGTGAAAGGATAAAGGAGCTGTTGCTTACCATATCGAAGCCGACCTCATAGTGAGTGCCACGTGTATAGAGAACGGGTATCGCCTGGCGACGGGGCAATATCTTGCCGGAGGACATGCTGGACGACATTTGGTGGGCCACCGGGGAGGTGCACATGGCTTCCTGGGCTTTCGTTTTGGTCTATGTGCTATGGACCGTTTATCGCTCTTCGCGCTATTTGGCTCTGAAATTCGAGCAGGATGAGCAGTAATAATATGCTTATGCTATCTTATCTTTCTATATTTTTGCTTGGCTTCGTCTAATCCACGATCACAGTAATGTAAATAGAAAGACAAAAACACAATAAAAATATATAATAATTCAGTGGGAATAATAGCTAAGAACAAAACAAAATTCACAAGATGAAATAATAAAAAAAAAAACAAAAACAAAAACAACTGAGTTAATAATTTCATTAAACAAACTTTACCAACACTCAAACACACACAGATAGAGAGAAATGTTGAGAGAGAGAGAGAGAGAGAGAGAGAATTTCAGCGTAAACAAATTGTATATAGATAATTCAAGCCAAGTTTTTATATGATTGTTCTAAAGCGCTTGAAGGCAGAATTCAAACTGAATTCGACATGTTTTGGCGGCAGCAATTCGAGGTGCCGAACAAACAACACTCAGCAAAAAGCACAACAACAACAACAAGAACAACAACAAGAACAACAACAACAACAACAGCAGCAACGGCAACGGCAACGGCAACGGCCTCTCAGTGCAGGCAACACACGAAGACAGCTGATGACGACGACGACGCCGACGTCGCTGCGATAACGGAGCAGGCAACGCATATAGAAGCACAGCAACAACAACGCTGCGACGCCAGCAGCGATGGCGACGGCGACGGCGACTGCGACTGCGACTGCGACTGCGACTGTGACGTTCATCCAGAGTTGGAAAGCAATCGAATACGAATTTGAATTCGAATTCAAATTTAATGTTCAATATCAGTTGCGGTTCGTTTCACATTGGCGAATCACACGATCTAATTTATTGAATATATGATAATCATATTTTGATATTAACCAATTTACAGCACATAAATGAATATGCATATGTTACTTAATTATATAAGTTCTAACCGAATCGAGTCTAGACAAACAATAGCCCTGTTTTGCCGTTAGAATTGAGTGAATCGGTTCATTATGTAATTTAATTTGAGGTATATTATTTTTTTTACTTTCAAATTAATATTTATAAGTGTTCATTGTTGTTTGGTTCATTGAAGAGCGCCGCAGCCCTGGTTATATTCTGCAGCGTTTGCATTATTATTTTTATTTCTTAGCTGTTTCTAAGTCGATTAGACAGCTAATAGGCTTTTCGCCTAACACACATTGTCTAACCCTTCTGTGCTCTATTTATAGTTATTGACTTTCGTTTTGTGCTCGCAATCTTAAATTCTTTTATACCCTACAGAGCCAAGCTGCTCGCCGGGTATTTTGTTTCAGCTAACTATGTGCTAACTGCACAGTTACAAAGAATCCAGTTTCAAAACAAACTAAAACAGAAAGAGTAAAAAAAAAAAATCAAAATACATTTGAATAACCTGTATGAATGGGGAAGCCCTAAAAGTGTTGATTGTTGAATATTTAGTCTGGCCAAAAATAAAAGCGGCTCGAAAACCAAATGCTGGTACATTTGTTTAAAACTAAGATTTACTATAATTAACCGATTTGATGAGTACACAATTTTATTATAACTATGTTGACTTTTGTCTCTGTTCTTTATGTTACCTGGATGCGTTTCGGTTACGTATACGTAATTTGTATATGTAATTTGACCCTGAATATATGTGATTATTGTTATGCCTTGGTTGCTTTCCATGGAAACACGTTTCTTGCCGCCGCCCGGCATACTTGATTGGTATTTCAATTTTCAAATTGTACCTTTCTTTTCATATTAAATAATTGATATGATTTTGGCTGTGGCATACAGAGACCTGGCACATGGCCTGGCTGGGCCTTACTGTCAACGATCGCAGTCAGTGCCAAGGATAGCCGGTTAATAAATACATAATATCTGACGGCAAAGCCAACCCAATGATTAATTTCTGAAAATTGGCTCATCTCGTGCTTGAAAACAAGATCCATTAGTTCTGTGAGTGAGATATGTGTGCCCAAACCAGCTCGAATGACTTCTGTGCTCATCGTGCGGTCATTCCAAAAGTCTCAAAACTTTAGACTAATAGAACGAGTAGCCAATGTCAAGGCTGTTTATAAATATAAGAGAATACTAATTACTTATACTAGACTGTGATTCGAGCACGCATCCTTGTTGTCCTAGCCTTGCCTGAAAGGTATACCCCAAATTCGTTTAAATTAAATACATGTATATTTCGATTCATTTTAAGTATATATATATTAATTATAAGTGAAAGAGCCGTATAAGAACAAAGTTAATTTTTAACAATTGTTATTAATAATGTAATTAAACAGTAAGTTTTGTGTTCGATCCTGTATTTGATTGAATTCTTCAATCTCAACTTAAGTAAGAACACTTTCGACATTTTGAATTTAACAGCTGCGAATTGTTAGCATCGTGCTAGATTTTCGCGCATAATTTGAATCGATCGTTTGGATTAATGCATATTTATATTTTTGGACTTGTTTTCAAGTGATCTGTGATCATCACATTCGCAAATTAAAAACAACAACAACAACGCATGTAATCAAAAAGAATTTACGAATTCTAATGGAGAAGCAATTACGAGCTGTAGTCTCGGCCAGCGGCTGTTCACGGTCGCCACATCATATATTTACGATAATAATGTGCATATAATTGCGGTTTATGTCAAGACGCATATGCAAAATCGGGCTGCTTGAAGGCCTGAATAGTAATTTCATAAAAAGTGTAATAATTGAATTCAAATTATGTTAAGCAGTGCGCACTAGCACACGCACCGCCGATAGTTGTCCAACACAGGCAATTGTTATCGATATATATATATTTGGGCATGCGATAGATCGGAGTGCTGTGTTATCGCCGAATTGTACTTACCCTGCGCGCAAAAGTCGCACACGCAAAGCGTCAGAACGAAAATTCACACACATGCTGGCTGTCAGCGTTATTTTATTTGAATTAAATTATTATGCGTTGCCCTCGAATTATGGTGCGAATTGCCTGCAATCTGTGCGCCAGTGATGTGCAGTGTGCGGCGTCCTTGAATTGACCACTGGGATGCATTAAATTTGGGCCTGCGTCTGGTGTTTGATGTTGTTTGGTTGTTGGTTTTTTTTTTGTTTTTTTTTTTTTTTTTTTTTTTTTGGTTTCATTTTTGCTGCTGGCCACACACGGCATTTGGCCAAGCCACGCGATTAGCAGAAGTGTACGCAAAGTATATAAGTTGTATATATAAGAATGGAGGAGCCCGCAATACCGGTGCGAAGAGGCACAACGGATGACGAGAGAAATCCGCTGGAGATTTTGGGTGAGCTGCTTTTTAGATATGGTGCATGCCGTACAGATAGAGAGCATTCTTGTATTTATAGATATAACCGATGAGACGCAAACAGCTGAATTAGAGGAGGAGATCATGGACTTTTCAATAAGTCCGGTAATGGACTTGCCGCGCGACGTTAGCGCCGATGTCGCCTCCTACGCCAGCAGAACGCCCGCCTATAATCTGGAAGCGTATCTTTTGGAACGCCGGCTCATACGGCTGGTGCGCAAACAGCCTGCCCTGTACAATAGACGCCATCGTCGCTTCAACAATGACGCTTTCAAGGAGCAGCTGTGGCAAAATATTGCGCGACAATTGTCCATGGAACAAACCAAATGCATGAGTACCTGGGCGGAGCTGCGCTATAAATATCAGCGTCATGTGCGCCGCCTGCGCCGTTATCGCCGGCAAGTGCAGGCGTGTCGCATTCTAACGCGTCCACGTCCCACCATGCTGCACGAGGAGGATATGCTGTTCCTGTACACGCACGTGGCAAGGCAACCGCTGCAGTGCCAGCAGCCCGGCGAAGTGTTTAATGCAGAGCAGTCAAGTGTGGACGATGATGTGACCATTGTGCCAACACAACCCGCTGATATTATAGATCTAGATGCGGATTATTGTGAACAGTATAAGATTAGCCCCGATCAGGAACGACTCGTTGATGCCGTGCGCGCCTATCCACAGCTGTATGATACTCAGCATGTGGGCTATAACAATTATCGTCATCGCGGACTCATTTGGGGTGCCATCTCCAATGAGCTGCACGAGAAGGCAACGAAGCTAATGAAGATCTGGCTGCAGCTAAAGACGCGCTACGAGTGGGAGGTGACGCACGCCAGTAGCGCCAGTCCACAGCTGAAGAAACAGCTCAGCTTTCTGTCGCCCCACATAGAGAATACACCCGGCACCGTATGCAAGATGTCGTTGTATTTGCAGGACGCCTGGTTTGATCCCATTGAGCATTTTCGCAGCGTCATGAATCTGATAAATGTGCTAAAAACAATGCCCGAGCTTGGACAGATGGTGGATGATTACCACGACAATGAACTGAAGCCGGCGCGATATAATGAGCTCTGGTTGCGCGTCTCGGCGCAGGTGAATTGCTGCCATCAACGCTGCGAGGTTACCTGGCTGGTGTTGCGCAACTTTTACCTGGAGTTGGACGAGATGCGTAAAGTTGGCTATCAGCTGCAGGACAAATGGTTCTTCGAGAACATCATTGGTTGCCTCTACAAGCTGTTAGCCGCACGCTCGATGCGACGTGCCCAAAAACGTGCCGCCCCAATTGTTACCACTGGCGCAACACCGCCCAAGTTAATGGCGGCCGGGCCAGTGAGCGCTAAGCCCAGTGCTACGCAACGCGACTGGCAGAGATTGGCGTCGAAGCCTGCGTATAGTACGCCTCAGCCGGCGCCACCGCTGCCACTGGCCATTGTCTATCCGGCGACCACGCGGGCAACCTCCACCATTACGGCCATTCCCATTAGCAGCAGCAGCAACATCACGACGAGCATCGTCAGCAACAGCATCACGACTAGCATCACCAGCAGCAACAGCACCAGCGGCAGCAGCTGCAGCTCCAGTACCTCTGGCTTTGCCATTCCGCGCATCACAGCAGCCATCAGCATGGTGTCCAAGCCCGCAATGCCAGCAGCAGCAGCTACGACGACGTCGCCAGCTGCCAACGCGCCGAACAGCAGCTTTGTAAACATAATGCCGCAGACGCAGACGCAGATGCAGCCGAAGCCGTTGCCGTTGCCGTTGCCAATGCCGCTGCCAATGCCGCTGCCGATGCCGATGTCGATGCCATTGCCATTGCCGATACCGGCCACGGTGCAGCTGGCCAATGTGCCCGGCGTGCGGCCGAGTCCAATGCGTAGCGGCCTGCAGGTAATGGTGCGTCCAAATATACGCCTGCCGCTGACGCCAATTATATCGCCGGGTATCAGCAGCAGCAGCATCCCGACGAACACCATTAGCGGCACCACCATACGCGCCGTACCACCTGTCGCAGCAGGTGTCACCCTACAGCCCACATCACCAGCATTAGCAACAGCAACAGCAGCACCGACGGAACTCACCACCAAGGTGAGCAATGTGCCCAGCATGCTGGCAACGCTAACAACAACGCCCGCGTCAAATGCAAAACCGTTGCCACCGCTGGTGCCACCATTGCCCAAGCTGGTGCCGCTGACCGTGCGCAACGACAAGGTGGCATTGCCATCGGTGAACATGCTGCCCAAGCCGTGGGGCACATCGATGCCGCTGCCAGCGCTGACGCCAACAACGCTCGTCAGAAAGCATCAGACGGCGCTGAATAGCGGCTGGGATGATATACGCAGCCCCACCCAGCCCGCCAATAGCATCAAAATCACTTTCAACAGTTCATCAAATGTGATTATCACCAATGACAAGACGCCAACAAAGCAGGTGCCCGAAATCAAAGTCGAGTTCCGCGATTGCCCGCAAACTGGACGCGTGCTGCATGCGGAGGGCACCGCGGTGCCATTCTCCCCGAATCTGAATATGGCGCGCACCGCGGTATTTATACGTGAGGTGATGGCCATACCGCAGCTGCACTGCACGGATCACCTGCTGGCAGGCAAAAGCACGGCACTCTGGCAGCAAATAGCCAAAAAGTTTCACATGTCAGGCAAGTGTTATTTTTCGCTTTTCTTCCAATAATCTCTAGTCCTGCATGCTCAGTAAAAATGTTCTAGCAGAGGGTATCCCATAGCTGTGTGAAGGCATCTCCATCAACAGCTGTTTCTCTTGAGAAGGCTGGACCCCGAATTCGATTAATATCAATTTCGATTAATCAACAATTTGAATACACTCCCGCACATGCCTAAATATCAGATTGCAATGGGTAAAATTAAGATTGTTCCCGTTGTCTTTGGCAGATCAACTATGTCGCGCCATTTGGCAGTTTCTGGCGAATAACATGAACCAGTTTCCGACAATAGCGCCCATGGAGGAGCTGATGCGTCCCTTCAAGGGCGGCATGAGGGTGTGGGAGAAGTCGCATCGTTTGTTCAGCAAATTTGACGAAATAGCGCGCAAATACAAATGGATGCTGCACAAGGATCAACTGCCGGCGCTGATGAATCATTTTGAAAAGTACGAACATCTGTACTGGGACATGCGCCGACCGCGACCAGGAGAATCGAATCATTCAGTGCGACCGCCCCGCCATTATACCGACCAGGAGCGCCAGGAGGTGTGGCGTGTGGCGCGTGAACGTTTTCCGCACAGTAGGTATAGCAGCTGGCAAGGATTGGAGCTAAATATTAATTTATTTTCATTGCTTTCGCTTTGACAGTGAATCATCGAGACGTTTGGTCCATGTTTAAATTTGCCTTCAAGACGTATATGGAGGACTTGGAGCGCGGCATTGAGAATCCCTGGCCGCAGAACTGGTGGCATGCACTGGAGCAGCTTAAGTTTCTTGTGAATGTGCGCTATCATCCCTTGGAGCCGTACTACTACATTGTGCACAACAAGTTCATGGAGGAGGTGAAACGCTGCAGCATGTACGAGGCGCTAATGCAAACAAATGCCGACAGTTCACAGGGCAAGGCGGTGGCAAACAATGCGCCAATGCCCTGGGAGACAGAGGAGGCGAAGCGGCTCCTAAATAGCGAGAACAAAGTTCAAGAGGTTTTGGTTTTCTTTAACAAAGGGCCACAGCAATCAGAGCAGCAGCAGCAGCCGCAGCCGCAGCAGGAGGAACAGCAACAGCTGTTGCAGCTGGAGAGAATGGACGAACAATCACTGCCAGATGATTCGGAGCTTACGCTGGAAAAACAGCCGACTGTTAACGAACTGGTCAAGCATTTGGCCGGCGAGCCTCGCAAGCTACCCAACATGGATGCCTATCAGCTGACACGTCTGCTGCGCTGCCATCCAAAAACCTATGGCAGGTCCAGCACCATGGAGAAGCGCAGTGCCTGGCTGCATGTAGCCAAGCAGCTTAATGCCACCGGTAAACAGCTAAATATGACAAGCACAAAGCAGTCGACTTCAATTAATTCTAAATTTTCTTGCCACACAGTAACCGAGTGCCGCTTGAGCTTGCAGCATGCACTGCGCGAATTGTGCATCTTGAAGATCAGCGATATCAATTGCCGTTGCGTGCTATCGCAAAAGTATTATCATCACATGAACGAGATCTACAAGCAGGTGAAGGCCGGCGGTCGGCTGGTGGTGCACCGCACACCGCATCAGCTCAACCAGATGCTAATGGAGCCCACGGACACCATTTATCCGGAGCGTTATTTGCCCGAAATCAATATAATTACGTGCAAGCCCAGTTTGGTGGTCAAGAATTGGGCATATGCGGCCAACAATTTGCCGACAATCAGTCAAGAAGAGGTCCTGCACGTGCGCCTTAAGCAAATATTTGCCAAATACGCCAGCCTGGCGAACATCGATTGGCCCAAAGCTGCTCCAGCCAAGCGCAGCAATGGCGCACTGCAGCAACAGGAGCATGATGAAAAGCAATCCAAGTTAGACTAGATCACATAGATTTAATAACTGTTAATGCCTAACACTTATTATTGTACATTGGCTGGATGTTCAATTCAGCGACTAGTTGGAACCCAATCCTCGCCCAAATTACCATTTAACATACGTTTCATCACACGAGTCACTTGCAATGTTTTCGCGGCGCATGTTGATTATCATTATTATTATATAAATTAGGTATATATTCGATCAGCTGTAGTTATGTCCGGCTTTGCATGAATCTGCCACAAGCAATTATTTAACAAAGAAAAAACGTTCATGCAACTTTAGCTGGAATACACAAACACATACACCAACGATTGCAGTTGGCCATGTATGTTATTTATACTAACGATTATTAATTTTTTTTTTATATGCAACTAAATACACATAAGTAGGAATTAAGCAAGCTGTTAAAAAATAAAACAAATGATGCATAAACATAAACTGGCCACTCTTAAGGCGAACGCTATGTTACCAAAACTGTGCACAAATATAGTTTGTGGCCCATGATGGCACGGATTTAGCTTCAGTTTAACGAGCTGTGCCGGATGAGCAGTTGGGGTGCATAGGAGTTAGGCTGTCAGGTCATCAAAGTAAGCCCAAGCAAATTGTTGCCGGGCAATTGGTGCACGATTTGATTGCCACAGCCGAAACAGGGGCAGCTTCTGGCCGTTACTTGAGTGTGCGTGGGAGGGTTGTTACATGCAATTTCAATGTAATAAAATAAATAGAAAAGACCATAATTGAAGCTTAGCAACAGAAATCGCGTATGCCAGTGCCTTGCTTAAGAGTAACTGCATTCTTGTCTTCAGCCGGAAATACGGTGCCGGGCCGATTGCGTTCCACGTGTGTATCGAATATGCTGACCGCCAGATTGGCGAAAAGACGCTCCACATTGGCGCCAGTGACGGCAGAGGCCTCCACATAGGTGACGCCCAGACTTTCGGCATAAATGGCCGCCGACTGTTGGCACACCTGACGGCCCTGGAATGCGTCGCATTTGTTGCCCACCAGCAGGATGCGCACATTCGTCGCTGCGTGCTTGTCAATCTCCTTGAGCCAGTAGTCGACGTTCTGATAGCTGCGACGACGTGTTGTATCAAAGACCAGGATTATGCCCTGAACGTGACGGTAATAGGAGCTCATCATCGAACGGTAGCGCTCCTCACCGGCCGTATCCCAGATCTGTAGCTTCACCTTATGCCCGGAGATTTCGACGGTGCGTATCTTCGAGTCCACGCCCACCGTGCACTTGTAATTGCCGGTAAAACGATTCTCCACAAAGCGCTGCAGCAGACACGTCTTGCCCACGCCCGCATCGCCCAGCATCAGTATCTTGAACACATAACGCTCATCCATATTCAAAATGGGGAATTATTTGTAACTAGTTTCTGAATTGATTGATTTTTTATGTACGAGCTGAGCTAATGAATGAGGCCAACAGTCCGGGTTCCTAAACATGTGGGCAATACTTTCAACAAGGTCTACTTGGTTTTACAATAGGGCCAACGGACTCAAATCTGCCCCCAAATTTAAAAATATTCGTAAAACATATGAAATAACTTTGTCTGTCCGTTTGTATGAACCCGTCCATCTCGGACATAAAAATTAAAGTTTGAATAGGCCCCCGATAGTTCGTTTTTTACCGATCATCGATAACTTGCCGCGATTGCAAGCAATCGATAAGAATCGATATATCCCGATTTTACTATAGAATTGCGCTTATTCAGTTATATTTTATCTAATTTTTATATAAATTTAAAATATATATTCGTATATATATAAAGACATACATATGTGTAAATAAAAACTCACCTGTTAATCCACCAGCACAATTACTTGATTGTCTTCTATCAGGAGGCGAGCTTCTATATAAAGACATTACTGAAAGTAGAAGACCAGAGATTATGCTTATTAGCCTTACTTGAATTAGTGAGAATCGCGTAGTAGGGCAATATTTATAAATGCGTTACATAGTCTTATTGATAATACGTACCAATTTTTTCAATGGCTACATTTAAAATTGATGCCGTCTCTTTTGCCGCGGTCCGTGGGCACCGTCTCTATCAATATTCACAACGCCGCCGAATCCTCCTTGGCTCAAGCCACCACGTCATCAATAAGTGAGTGCGCCGTCTCCTGCTAGGTTGAAGGCACCCTTTCAAAATATGAAAGCTGCCGTTTCCTGCATAGTTGAAGCCGCCACCTCCATTGTTCAAGTAGCCGCCTCCTCTGATATTAAGGTTGCCGTCTCCTGCATAGTTGAAGCCGCTTCCTCCAATATTAAGGTGGCCGCCTCCTGCACATTGAAAGCCGCCTCCTCCTGCATAGCTGAAGTCGCCTCCCTCACAGTTGAAGCCGCCTCCTCCATTTAAGAAGCTGCCGTCAGCTTATGCGACTTACTTGAATTCATGAGAATCGAGTAGAAGGGCGTTACTAAGAATACGTTTTATTTGAATTTGCAGCGCAGCTTAGGCTGATAAATATATATAAAATAAACTCGATTTTGCATAAACATACATACACATTGCACACTACCTAATACATACATATGTACACACATCAATACATACAGACACGCACACACATCAATACATACAGACACACACATGCATGTATACACACATGTACATACATGTAAACATAAATTCATATACATCCACATACATACGTACATACATACATATGCGCACACATCAATACACAAACACGTGCATATATTAACATATGTATATATACAATTACAGCCACACAATCAACATACAAACAAATGGACAGACATATGTACAGACATATGTACATATATGTATGCAAGCAAACATACAAACCTACTTGCATATATGCATACATACATACTTACATACATACACACTTTCGCACACATACACACGCATACATACACTTACGCGTATACACACACACACACAAACACACACACACACACACACACACACAGTCGCACAGACACACAGTCACACACACACAGTCACACACACACAGTCACACACACACAATCACACACACACAGTCATACACACACACACACACAGAGAGACGCACACACACACAGACACACACACACACTGACACACACACACACACACACACACACACACACACACACAGAGAGACACACACACACAGACACACACACACACACACACAGACACACACACACACACAGACACACACACACACACACACACTGACACACACACCCATAAACATACATACATACACATATACATGCATACATACATAGATACATACATGCACATACATTGCCCATGGCATGTTTAGTACTTTAATTTTTAAGCCAGCTCACGCCCACGAAGAAATGTAAATCCATCCGTACTTACTTGACAACTGTTTACGGCAAATGCTTATTATCATCGGATCAATAACTATATATTGTATATTATATAGATCTTCCAATAGGAAAAATCTGCCGAAAATATTCCTTTTGGCTTTCAGACTAACTTGGCCGATTTCGGGGGTTGGGAGTGTCAAACGGCGCCCATCTAATGAACATAATCCATCTGGGAAAAATGAGTGAAAATTAAAGCTTAAACATAATCCTTTTATCTGCCAGCTGGGGCCTTCAGACTTCTGCTTGGCGTAGATATTTGTGATGTCTTAAGGTAATACCCAAGTTGACTAGTTGCAACTTAAAGTGAGACGTAAACTCCACGGCTAATGACACCAAAATGATGCTTTTGTCCAGCTGCGCTGAAAGACACATCAAATTAACATTCTAATGTGAAGCGCTCCAGCTCCAGCTTCTGCTGCCACACCTGCTCCTGCAGCTGCTCCTGGGCGAGGCGGACGTGGAGAGACGCTTTAAGGTCCATTGCACATCAACTGGCGGAACAGCTAGGGAACGGTGATGGGAATAATGTTTGCTCCCGGTGATTAACGCAATTAAACAGGTGCTCAAAATGATGTTTCCAGTGGATTAGCCAGCAACAAGGACGCGTACGCGCCAAGGATATTTTTGCCGGAATGGCTTCCACGCCCGCTAATAAGCGCCACATTAGCAACATGCGCCACATTCTCATCCTCGTGCTCAGCCTCATCCACATTCGCATTAATTCAATGTGGATTTTGAGCATCAGCACACTTTATGTGGGGTTGGCACAGCCAGCAATTCCAGGCGGGGGGTTGGAGGGGTATTATCCACGACGTCTGACGTTAAAATTCCATTAGCCTTACAATGGACTGCTGCTGGGGTTGGGCAGGCAAGTTGTAGGCCAATAATAGCTGTGCCCCCTTATGATTTGTAGGTGTTGTTGCCGTGAGATAAAACCTGTAATTGTGCTACCTCCAGCCTTAGACTCGTGGGTTTTAAGTGCTGCTGGGACTCAGCCGGCCCAAAAGATGGTCAAGTTCCCAGCAAACAGGCCAACAAGCACCTGATATCAAACTTTTCGTAATAGGCCAACTTTTTAGAAACATTTTCTACACGTTGCTCATTAAATATGTAAGCTGGACTTTAATATTTGTGCCCTTTACTTCATGTTCCTGTCAATGTTAACAAGCAGTTTGGCAAGAGCTTGACACAGAAACAAAACAACTGTGGGTCTTATTACTCGTACATAATCAGCAAACTTTGAAGAAACACTTTGTAGACATTGCTCATTTAATATGTTTGCTGAACTTTAATATTTGTGCCCTATTGTTTGTGTTCCTGTCAAGGCTAACAAGCATTTTAACAAGAGCCTTACGAAAAATAAAAAAGCTTTACGATATAAAAGCCCAAAAGAAAGCATGTCATTTTAAAACTCAAACCTGTAGACCTTACTTAAACACATGAGAATCGCAAAGAGAGGCAATAGATTTAATTTGCAGCACAGCCAACAGGGTTATCGAATAGTGTCTGAAAATAGGGCTGTACGTCAGCAATCAATCAGTCAGTCGGTCAAACAGTCAGTCAAACACAACAGCATGAGATTCCACAGGAATATGGGAATATGCTCTTAAGATGTTTCCAGGTGAGCCAAAGAAACCGCTTTGTTTTCTTCGGCGTAATCAAGTGCGAGGCCCATTCATGCGGCCGTGACAATTAGCCAGCTCACATTGCTGGAGCTGGCCAACTGGGCGGCTGGCATGGGTTCACAGTTGTGCCCTCGAGTGCAATTGTGTTTGTCCAACTGGTTCACACGACCTCCATGAATCTGGGCATAATGAGACGCCAGTTTCATGATGGGCTGGCGTCTGTCTGTTCACATGGCATTTAAGCCCGAATTCCTAAAAAACCCAGCCAGCAGAAGTCATTGTAAGATGATTTTTTGTTTTTAACATACAAAATCGAACAGTAAAGAAAAAAAGCTGCAACTTTTTATTGTTATTGTTTTTCTTTTTTTTTTCTTCTGTTTGTGCGGCAAACTTGCTAATTGAACGCTTTTTGTTGTTCTTGCCATTTTTATTGTTAAAATAATAAAATAAAAAAAACGAAGAGGAGAAATGAGCCCAGCGAACTATTTAATGACAGTCGCACAGCCCACAATTGTGCCGGGTCAGGGAAAGCGTGGACTTGCGGCGGGGCAGAAGCAACAGCGGGGCAACCGGAGTCCAGAATCGGCTTAGTTCAGAACAAAGAACACGCCCCACTCGACTGAAAAACCATTATTTCATACAAAAGCAAAAAAAAAAAAAAAAAAACAACAAAAAGAACTTGTTGCCGCTGAATTGTGCATAAAAAAACAATAACAAATTCGCAAACAAAGATCATTTGCGAACGAGATCGACGACACGATATAATGACGACTGCAGCGACAATGACGCTGACAGCCGACTCCCGACGTGATCCCAGATGGGCATTTGAGGGGGTAGGGGGGGAGATGTGAGGGGCTGGCCAGTTTAGGTATTCCATTTAATGTACAATCACATCAAGATCAACGACAAGAACTCGCCGCAAATCAAAATAATTAAGCTGGTGTGTTATTTACCTTCCATCAGGTATTCCCTGCAATGCGACCCCACGAACGCGAAGCTGGCCAGGGTTGTCATCTCTGCGCACTGAATCACAGCAGATTTGGGATAGGCTCCGATTGACACTCTAGCCACAAGAGCTCCACATAGGCGCTTAGAATAAAAAATGTCACCATAACAAAAGCATGAAAACGCGCAGGCCTTACTTGAATCTATGAGAATCGCATAGAAAGGCAATATAAAAATACGTCCGGTTTTGGTAAACAAACACACTGAGACACACACACACACTAGATTTAAGAGAATTTTGAACCATTAAAAGATACAAAATTTGTTTTGAAAAAATCTTAATTAATTGTTTATACAATAATTTGTTAAAAGTGAAAATGCAGCTAACGATTTTTATGTACCATACAGCAACAGCATCCCCGCTGACCCACTGAATGTAATCGTGCGTAATCACACACAACAATCAAGCAAAGATCTGGTTTGCGACGTGAATTGTTTATGGCGTCTAACGA